CCCTTCGGTGCAGGGCAGGAAGAGCCGGCCTTCTCCTTCCCCTTCGCCGAAGGATGTTGGCCTGACAGAGGCTGCGGAACGGACGGCGGCTGTTGGCTCGGCGCCTGTTGTTGACTCGGCGCCGGCCGTTGGCCCCCAGGAAGCTGGACCCTCAAAGATGCCATCTCTAGCAAGAAAAAGAGGGTACCGTCAGCGTTAGGAGAATACGAATCTTAATTCAACAAGGCGTCGAGAGAAGTAATTACCCTCGTCGCTTAAATGGAAGTACGAACGAACGACGTCGAGATCCGAAGGGTTGGGAAGGTCGAGAATTAGACCAGCAGTACGAAGGTTCTCCTTGGTCAATAGCGTGTCGATATGGCGAACCTCCGACGAATAGGAAAAAGCTTCCTCGATCCTCGCCAAACTGTTACCAGAAAACTTTGGCCGGTCCTGGTTAACTGCGACACAGAGGACTCATCGTCAACATATGAAAAGGGGGTCAGGTCGGATAAAAAGAGAATTGAGGGGCTTACTCATATTTCCAAACGCCGCCTGCACCAGCCTTCGGCGGGGCTGGCGGTCGTTGGGATGGAAGTTAAAGGGCCCACAAATCATGAAAAACATGGGCTTCCACCCATGTGACGACGAGGGGATGCCCAGAATAAGCTTCCCAAACCTAGGCTGAGACCTCCCATGGCCGCTCAGAAAGTACCACCCATCACACTTAACAACGTGGCACAACTTATACATAAATCGGAACTCGTCCATTGGGAGTTTCATGTCGAACTTCTGGTTCCATAGAATCCAGGCTCCCGCAAAGCAGTACCAGAAGTTCGGCGCTAATTGGGCAGGAGAGATGCCGTAAAGATGGCAATAATCTTTTATAAAGGGATGAATTGGGAGAGTCATCCCTGCAGTTACCGCTCTTGTGTAGACCGGAAGGTATCCGGTCGGCGGCATGCTGGTTCTAAAATGCTTATCCGGGAGGAGGTACTCAAACCACCTCCCGTCAATGCATCCCTCCTTCACAGCCCGAATGATATCTTTATTTCGGACCTTCGACGCCACATCATCGGCTGTAAAGGAGGGCCTATCTGGGTCTCCGCTCGTGGCAGCCAGGGGGGAATCCGCCGTCGCAGCGGTTACTCCGCAGCGGTTACTCCGCTTATGCTCCCCCGCGTAAAAGGGATCTGCTCGACCACCTCATCTATCATTCGGTCGACGCTATCGAATTCACTTCCGAAATCGTCGCCTGGCTCAAAACTTCCCTCGACATCCTCGATATCCCTAAGCACAGAGCTGACACCGGAAGACGAAGAGGTCCATGAGATCTCTACCACCGAAGGGGGGTCAGAACGAACGACAGAAAGAGAATCCTCTCGACTAGGTGAACTTTGAGCCATTGTTCTGGTAAAAACAATGACAAAAAGTTAAGTTAAAACCCTAACGTCGAGAGGAATAAACGGCGACTACTCTAAGCGACGACTGGTTAACGTCGACCATTCATACAAGAATGGTAACGACGAGTGTTCATAGGAACCGCGGGTTCCCCAGAACCCAGAAACTAAAGACAAACATACAAAAAATGCGCGCATATAAAAGTCAGGTCATCCAGTACGACATGATATAACAAAGTAAAGTCTCTTTAACTAAATGTTTATTCTCATTTTCTGCATATATGTTTACAAATTCCTGGTACACAACGGGAGAAACCCCGTGAGTACGCAAAAAGAGAAAGGATTCAGGAACTCACCGGTGAAGAAGTAAACCCGGGACGGTTTCGTAGTACACCTCGGAGAACGGGAAGGACGAAGGCGGAAGTTCAGCAAGCAGAGTTCCGGCAAAAGTACGGATGTCCCGGCAAAGCAGCGGCAAAAAGTTTTTTGAAGTTTCGAAGAAGGAAAAAACGATCATCGGGTTCATGGAGAGTATTTAAAGAGTCGGGAATGAAGACCCCCAACCGTCGGATGAAGACCCCAAAAGACCAACGGCCAGGGATCACTCTCCGTATCTGACGGTAAGGGGAAGGGCGGAAAATTAAAAAGGCGCGGATCCGACGGCCTATATTCGTTTTCTTGAAACACGGATACTCATCATTATGCCAAATCAATCGACGCGCCGGTTATAAACCCAAGGCCCCCAGGCCATCATTGCGGACGAAGGTTCGGGACCGATTTCCCACACCCGAAGCACGGAAAGGACAAACCAAACCTAGAGCTCGAGGCCGCCTAAAAAAAGAGCCCTCGACCTGGGGGGTGGCTGTTATGTGAGAAAATGTGATGGACACATGGACCAACAGCGCCACGACACGTGGCTATACTTACTTTCCGCCGAGCACCCAACCTTCGACGCTTCGTTTTCCTCAAGATCAACTATAGTGCCCGGAGATGAAGTCCATAATTAGGGCGACGACCCCATGAGGCGTCGACGGTTGATTCCGCCTGGGTCGACACGACAAGATCCCTCGACTGCAGAAGAGATCACTAGAAGGGGTGAGAAAGGTTAAACAACCACTGACGACGAGAGGAACGTCCCTTTTCAACATGATAGGTTACATGCAAAGATGAGAGAAGTCTGACAGCATTAATTGTAAGTTTACAAACCGCCCCCCCCCCAGGGGACAGAAAAGCATTACGAAGAGTCACAGAGCCGTAATAGAAGACTAATTGGTTGAGTGAACAGTACTAATTAGTGGGTTATGTCTGGCCCTAGAGAGGGAGAGCACTTGAGTGTCCCTACCTACGAAGGAAACCCACCCAGTGAAGGAAGCCCGAGTATAAAAGAAGAAGGACCCCAATAGGGAAGGGGTCCAGAAAATTCCAAAAGAAAGAGAACGAGGGAGAGAGAGAGATAGTATTCATTGTAAACTATGATCTCTACAAAAGAAATATAATATATACAGTGGATGTAGCTCTAATTTTATAGAGTGAACTGTTGGTTACCGAATCCAATCCGGCTGCGGAAGCGCGGTGGTGCGGGGAAGAGGCGGATCGTGTATAACAAAAATTTTCATAAAACTTTTGAGATACTCTATAGATTATATTAATTTATGCACGAATAAATTAATCTCATTAACTTATAAAGATCAAGAACTCGATCAGAAAAAATACCTAGAAGCCGACTCGGATGATAACTTGAGTTCTTTGACCACGAACAGTCCTTGCTCCAATCTTTGTGTTTAGAAAACCAATGTCTTCCACATCAATTCTTAGAATCCACGAAGACGTGTGTGGGTACACATGAGACAAAACAGGTTACAATAAACACTCAAATTTCCACAAACACCAACGCATGCACGATGTGAAATTTTTGGAGAAAAAAGTTTTTTCCTTCCTCTCTCACTTGAGAATTTCGGCCAGCCTTAACTCTTAGGGCTGAAAAATTGTTTCCAAAATTTCTATAGAGAAATTTCGGCTACCTCTAAAATTAGGGCAAAAAACCATTATGAAAATTGTCTCAAAAATAGTATTTATAGAGTAGAAGTCAAACTTCTAGAAGGAATCCAATCTCTATCTCCAATTTGAATTTCAAACCAAAATTCTCCTCTATCCCTTATCCCTTGTGGCCGGCCATGCTAGGGATTC